TCCCCCGCCTTCTCTCGTGGAGGCTCCGCGACAAGCCTGTGCGCCAGTCACAGAGCAGGATGCTGCCGTTTATTAGGTTAACGCTAAAAGGGACAAGGAGCTTGTGCAGGCTGCTAGTTCTGGACACCCGGCGTTCAGAAAATTATCCTCCCTGATCTCTATCTTAAGCTCTAGGGTTCTGATGTAGTAGCCCCACGACAATAAATATACTGCGTTTGCGCTGCAACTCAGTGGGCATCATGAAGATCTTTAGGAACATTGGGCTCCAGAGTTTATTGAAATTATTATTAGCAAGTATGCTTTTTCTTGCTCCTTTATACAGGTGTCCAAGGGCACCTACTCTGTCCCCTCACCCTGCTTTCTTTTTCCAGCCACCTGACATCTATCATCTACAAGAGCATTCCATGTCCAGAATGTAAGCTCTCTGGGGCAGGGGCTTGGTTTTGTTCACGGCCTTTTTTCCATCCCTTGGAACAGGGGCTGGCACAGAGCAGGTGCTCACTATGTATTTGGTGTCCGGGGAGTCCTTATAACTTTCGTGTGCTACTGTTTCCACAAATGTTGATAAATGGGTTGTTGTGAGAATCAACTGAGTCGATATCTGTAAAGTGCTTAGAGAACAGTTGCCCATTCCAGAATGAGTGCAATGTGACACTTCTCTTGGTGTGGTGAACAAATGAATGAGTCCTCACCCACTGTGGCGTGTTGTAGCCGAAATGCTGGCACATTATTACTGGTCTAGCTCTGGCACCAACATATAGTGCAGGTTCATGGCTCTCTTTTCGTCAGTGTCCTCACTTGTACACAAAGGGGGTGTGGCTCCCCACCGGCACAGAGAACCTGAACTGCTCATCTTAACAACTTCCACTTATTTCCTCGAGGTATTGCCCACATGGAGGACAAAAGCTTTTGCTACCTTAACTACCTATGCCCCTGTACCCCCTGTTCCACTCCTGGAGCTCCACAGTCCCCCTGCCCTTCCTGATTCTGTTTTTCACTTACCTCCTCTCATTTAGTTATAGAGACAGTACATGTCCACGGCTTTTTATCTGCTGTTCTGAATTCGGAGAACTTTTGAAAGCCTTTCAGAATTCATTGGTTGGCAAAACTGTTCTGACCTGAACTCGTTTGTCGACAAAAGTCTGAGCTGAGGCTATTTATGGTTGTGTATTTATTTCACCTGGAGTGTATATTAATGTGACCGCGGAACTTTTAACGCATTATACGGTGTACTGAATCAAACCCTGCTGGGATTGTAATCTCACACACTGTACATGCACCACATAGGTTCTCTTTAAGTGTGAACAATTACGAATTCTGACCCATGTGTCCCCAGAAGTTTCAGGTAAGAAACTGTGGGCCTGTATAATCTGGTATTCAGCTCTGGAGTCAGAATGCCTAGGTTCAGATGCCAGCCGTGCCAGCCCACTGGCTATAAGACCTTAGGAATTTGCCTCTCTGCACCTCAGTTTCCTCACCTGGGTGGATGGTAACAGTACCCACCCTCCTGAGGTTAGTGCAGAATCATC